ATTTCGACAAATAAAAGTGGAAAATGAGACATATATATTCTATCATTTTCGATGCCAGATTTCGAGTATCTCTTGCAAGTACACAGAGTATGATGTAGACTAAAAGGTGTATTCCACATCTATGCGGATAGAGTAAAAAGTAGTCCAAACTGGACATAATATTTCCATGTGAGCTATAAGCATTTTTCCATCCAGATAAATTGATGATGATTTTTTTGGCTCACACAGACCACTTCATATTTTTCATGTTTCCATTCAAATTTCTTTCAGTCATGAATTTTTACAGGGTGTTCAATTTGAAAATGGTTCATCTTCAATAGGTTTTGAGACTTGTAGCACCCTGTATATTTCATGGCAACAATAGATAGTTTGACTGAAAATCTTCAACTAGAATTATTTGGGATTTTTAGATTGAACTTACTTTTTTTTGTTGCCTATACGTTTTGTGAAATCTACATTTTTGTCTTGTTTATTTTTCTCATAATGTATACTTGCTCACTTTCAAATTTTCTTTTATAATTGTCTAACAAGAAACTTATTGAGTAGATAGTCTGAAAATAATTGAATTATCAATAGTCACCGAAATTTGGACAATTTTTTGAAAAATTTTGAGAAAGGTGATGATGCTGCCAAAAGCGACTTCATTTTGGGGGCCATTTGGTTGTTAAACTGCCTTTGATGCAACATTGTATCTTTCTCATAATTTGTTCGACAAATCTACACTCGCATTTATACCTGTTATGCTAAGTATGTTGGTATGATTAACACCATTGGCTATTGAGATACCAAGGTAGATAAACACAGTGAATGGTATACATGTTTTCCAAATATCAGTAAATGTAACATTCAGAACAGAGTTTATTGTTACTCTCATATTGTATGTTTGTTTCTCTGTGATGTGAATACGATGAATAAATTTTACCCATTTCGAAAAGGACTTTGATTTAAATGAGTCTTCCTCCATTTCCATGCTTTTGGTATTATCAGCTATAACCTTTCTTGGGAAAATCACGTGAGATCAATTGCTAAAAGTGCATCCCCAAAACTTGGTTTTCTGTTTCGGGCCAGGAGCTATTTCACTTTCAGTCAGCTGCTTATGATCTATATGGCACAGATCCGACCAGTCCTGGAACATACCCTCCCAGACAGCACCAGATATTCCATGAATCTCCCTATCATATTCCTTTTTGGAATATTGGAATATTCTAGAAATAATCTGGAATATTCCGGAATATCTGTGGAATATTCTCTAAATATGCGAATGGGAATGTTCCTGGAATATTCCAATAAACATGTTCTAAAATAAAAAAAATGACCCAAGTATGGATCAAACTCGTGACCTCAAGACTATCAGAGCAACGCCTTGACCACTAGACGCCAGTAATCGAATTGCATAATGTTGTACATATCAATTTCTTGTGAGAGCGTTGTTCTAAATCGGATCATAAACACTTTTTGTTTCAAAATCCCCCTACATCTAATTGATGTTCGATACTCACATATCTGAAATAATGATTATTGGTATTTACATAGGAATATTTCATGAATTTACACCACAGAATATTCAGTTGAGATTATTTCATGAATATACCCCATAGAACATTCAGTTGGAAGTATTTCATAAATATACAAAAGAGAATATTCATTTGGGAATATTCCTGGAAAATTCATACCTAAATATTCCCTGAACAATTGAACATATCCGACTATTCACTTGGAATATTCCTTTTAGATGTTTCAGAGGCATATTCTAGGAATAATCGATGAATATTCGGAATATACTCCTCCTTTCTAGCATATTTAGATAATATTATCTAGGAATATCTAGTGCTGTCTCTGGGCTTGAACTGTTGGATTCTGTCCAAAAAAGGGCAATTCGTCTCGTGGGTGATGCCTCGCTTACAAACTCACTCACTTCTCTGGAACACCGTAGAAAAATTGGTGATCTGGCTCTATTTTATAGATATTTTCATGGACGATGCTCTTCTCTGAAATATCAACAATTGTTCCTCCCTTGGCAGTCCCCACGAGATTAGCCCGTCGAGTTGGTGCTTCGCACCCCTTCGTGGTCACTTTGGAGACCTGCAGAACATCTCTTTCCAAAGAATCGTTCATCCAACGAACAGCGAGGCTCTGGAACACATTGCCAAGGGAGGTGTTCTCCGAGGCATATATAACCTCCAGAAATTCAAGAAGAACACCATCAATTCCTACCTTATTTCCCTTGGTTCTCATGATTTTCTCTGAACATAACAGGATATCCCTTTTCGTGGGAACCATCAGAACATAAAAAAAATACTGCCGTCATAAGCACAAATAAGGGCCTATTCCACATCTACGAAAAAAACAACATATCGTTAGTCGTTAATCTATGGATCAATATATATCTCTTAATGGCGAAATGACGAAATTTGCACTTATAGGACCTTTGTGTTTATGACGGCAGAATACTTTTCACTATACCACTATCATGAATTCATGATCTTTGATCCAAAAGATGAATATTCTTGATAGAAGATCATTGATTGTGTTGCAGATGCAGAGAAACCATTGGAAATAATGCCAAATCGAGTTCAATGATGACGAATTGGGATGTGTTTCAAGTTTTCATCGATTTTAATAGCGTCGTCATTTATTTTTCGCACAATTGCTCATATTTCGAAAACTATTAGAAAAAAAGAGAAACCGTTTCCATAATTGTGTTCAGCACGACGAGAACGCCCTGTATACAAGTCTTCAGCCCATTCTGAGAACTGTCGATAATCGAAAAAAGTTCAGCTTTCTAGTCCCAAAATTGAAAGAGAGGTAATTTTTGACCTACTTCAGGACCGAATTTTTTATGCACTCAACACCGCTGACATAAATGCAAAATCAAGTTATTAGCAGTATTCTGGAGGCGAATTGGGATGTGTTGGAGAAGTTTTCAGCGATTTTCAGCCACAATTATTTTTCACAAAATTCCTCATATTTCGAAAACTATTAGAGATAAAGAAAAACCGTTTTCATATTATTGTTCAGCACGACGAGAACACTCTGTATACAAGTCTCCAGCCCATTCTGAGGCCTGTCTGGAATCGACAAAAGTTCAAAGGGGTTAACCTTCTTTCATTTTCAGACCCAAAAATCAACTTTGTCCTAGAGCGATCAAATTTGGTATTTAGGGCCCTTTTGGCATCCTCTAGTGCGATCTAGAAGTACAGCTCTCTATTCCCAACATTTCAAAAAAGGTAATTTTTGACCTCGTTCCGAACCGAATTTTTTATGTACTCAAACACTGCTGAAATGAATGCAAATTCGAGTTTATAGCAGTATTCTGGGGACGAATTGGGATGTGTTGGAGAAGTGTTCAGCGATTTTCAGCCACAATTATTTTTCACAAAATTCCTCATATTTCGAAAACTATTAGAGATAAAGAAAAACCGTTTTCATATCATTGTTCAGCACGACGAGAACACCCTATATAGAAATCTTCAGCCCATTCTGAGGCCTGTCTGGAATCGAAAAAAGTTCAAAGGGGGTTAACCTTGTTTCATTTTCAGACCCAAAAATCAACTTTGTCCTACAGCGATCAAATTTGGTATTTAGGGCCCTTTTGGCATCCTCTAGTGCGATCTAGAAGTACAGCTCTCTATTCCCAACATTTCAAAAAAGGTAATTTTTGACCTCGTTCCGAACCGAATTTTTTATGTACTCAAACACTGCTGAAATGAATGCAAATTCGAGTTTATAGCAGTATTCTGGGGACGAATTGGGATGTGGTGGAGAAGATTTCAGCGATTTTCAGCCACGCAATTATTTTTCACGAAATTGCTCATATTTCGAAAACTATTAGAGATAAAGGAAAACTGTTTTCATATTATTGTTCAGCATTACGAGAACACCCTGTAAACAAATCTTCAGCCCATTCTGAGGCCTGTCAGGATTCGAGAAAAGTTCAAATGGTTAACCTTCTTTCATTTTCAGACCAAAAAATCAACTTTGTCCTAGAGCGATCAAATTTGGTATTCAGGGCCCTTTTGGTATCGTCTAGTGCGGTCTAGAAGCACAGCTCTCTATTCCCAAAATTTCAAAAAAGGTAATTTTTGACCTCGTTCCGGACCGAATTTTTTATGTACTCAAACACTGCTGAAATGAATGCAAAATCGAGTTCATAGCAGTATTCTGGGGACGAATTGGGATGTGTTGGAGAAGTTTTCAGCGATTTTCAGGCACAATTATTTTTCACAAAATTGCTCATATTTCGAAAACTATTAGAGATAAAGAAAAACTGTTTTCATATTATTGTTCAGCACGACATAAACACCTTGTATACAAGTCTTCAGCCCATTCTGAGGCCTGTCTGGAATCGAAAAAAGTTCAAAGGGGTTAACCTTCTTTCATTTTCAGACCCAAAAATCAACTTTGTCCTAGAGCGATCAGATTTGGTATTTAGGGCCCTTGTGGCATGCCCTAGTGCGGACTAGAAGCACAGCTCTCTATTCCCAAAATTTCAAAAAAGGTAATTTTTGACCTCGTTCCGGACCGAATTTTTATGCACGCAACACCGCTGAAATGAATACAAAATCGAGTTTATGCAGTATTCCGGAGACGAATTGGGATGTGTTGGAGAAGTTTTCAGCGATTTTCAGTCACAATTATTTTTCACAAAATTGCTCATATTTCGAAAACAATCAGAGATAAAGAAAAACCGTTTTCATATTATTGTTCAGCACGACGAGAACACCCTGTATATAAGTGTGCAGCCCATTCTGAGAACTGTCTATTACAGACCCCGAGCCGAGGGTCTTGTGCAATTTATAACGTGATTCAATGTGACCAATCTGACAATGTGGTTTGGGAATGGTTCGAAAACTTTAGCTGGAATGTTGGCAAAATTGGTTTTTACAGCAACCTGTAATGTCAATGTGTCAATGTTGGTAGAACTGATGAAATTGTCATCAGTTCTACGAACCTTGTAGCGATCCTTTTTTCTTTACTTGACAGTAGTTGACTTTGACTCTTTGACATTGTTGACAAATTTTTATCTTGTTTTGACGTTCAAGTTATGTTATGAATCTGAAGAATTTTGAATATTTTTAACGAAAATGGCCTTACATCCATCGTACGCTCCTAATTTCTACTCAATTGAGGATATACTTGCAACACAAGAACGCATTCCTTGCAAATTCCTTGGGAATGTACCAGATATGGGTAATTTGTCACTAAAATACCCCTATGTTTTACATGAAAATACCTCTCAAACTTTACTTTCAGGCCATCTGAATCCATCTACTTTGGAAAAAGACCTTGCTGCTGGTACTGTATTAGAGCTACCGGTTTGGTTAGTCCAGGAACTGTCTTTGGGGCGTCATTCTATTGTCGCAACAGAACTGCCAAAAATATACAAAGAATCTTACAGAGAAATACTGAAAGCTGATGCTTGTGCTGTAGATCTGCATAAATTCAACTTGTACTTTTATGAATTAGGGAAACATATCAAACATTTTGATAGAAAGGGGGATGTACATGATATTCTATTACATGTGAGTGACACTAAAAAATATTGTTGATTTTCAAACACTATTTTGTTGCTTTTAGACATTCAAAACTCGTTTTCGCCAAATAATGGATCTAGCAGATCATTCAGTTTCTGACCCAACAGTTCAGGAGAGGTTGGAAACTTTGGAGGCAAGACTGTTCAGTGATGCATATGATGCCAGAACAAAATTGAATGCTTGGTTAGTGGAGTCTGGGGCAATTTTAGAAGCTGCAAATATGGTGGTGAACCACAAGAAAAGAAAGAGAATGAACTTAGACATTATTATGTAGTTAGAACAAGTGATAAAAAATGTGATGGAAGGATTTTTATTAAGATATTATAGGAATATGGGGGTTTCAATTTGGCTGAAGGATATTGTAGAAGGAGAAACAGTAGTATCTGGAACATTTATTCATATAAAGTAATAGAAATATAATATTGCCACCTCCGGCCTTTTTTGTCATACACCTATTCAAACTATAACAGACTAACAGAGTAAATAAAAAATAACAACAAAACCAAACTATCAATAATCTATGTACAAAACAATAATTCATTTCAAATATCTTGAACCTCATCCAATGTATAAAATGTTCATAAAAATTAAAGGAAAAAATTCTATCAACTATGAATAACAAAGATATATAATATGTTCAAATTTCCATTAAGGGGTAACAATGGTTCAACTAACAGTTCAATTACAATAAACTCAGCAACAAATCATGAAGGATACTTGATAATATCATTGTTTCAGTCTACCATTGTCAAAATACATATATTGAAAATAGAAAGGAAATAAAAATTTGTTGCCTAGTTTATTCATAATTATCAGTACAATAGGCCTTTTCATATTGATATATTTTTAAGACGCATGCGCTCGTTTTTAGATCCAAAATTTGATTGGTGAAGTTTCAATGGCTAGAGTTCCGACACATAATTCTGATTGGCCATTTCGAATATGGCGGTTTTTATTGACGTTCTGTCAAACGTCAACAGTGTCAACCAACATGGGCATTCGTCATTGAGAAACAATGATAACAATATAGTTTTTTCGTTTCTATATTCCTGGTGTGTATTATATAATTGTATTATATTAATTTGAATCGAAAAAACGTTACTTATTCATTACTGAGGAGTGTGGTGCAAGTGTTTCGGTGAAAATTACCGCCACTGTCTTTGGAATTTGGATGCGAGATGTAATCACAGATAGTCATTTATCATCTAAATGAAAAGGCCTACATGTTCAACAACCTGATGTTTTAAATGCTCTAACAAAGAACATTCAAACCACTCTCATAACAAATACCTCATACTTAAATTATTGAGCAAATGTCAATAATCACCATAGTAATAAAATCTTGTTAAGAATCATTAACAAAAATAATTTACAATACTGCCCAACAACAAAATTAGTGGGTAGTTTTTCAATGAAACAGATGTACCTATGTATTGATATCTAGCACAGCCATATTAGTGTAGCCATATTTAGATCTATGGTGTAGCTCAATCAAATATTGATGACACTGGCTTCTAATTCATAGGTCAGACAAACTTTAGTACCAATTGAAAAATTTTACAACAAAAGTTTTCAAAATTCGGCTCCATACAATGAGAAATCAATAAATCTCGAATTGAAACCGGAAAAGGTTTATAGTAAGTGTTATAATATCTCCGATGGAAAAGTTTGGAAACATTTGAAGCTATTGTGGATCGATTTATACTGAATTCTTGGAAACAAGAGAATAGGTAATTGATTTATTGTAGGTATTAGGAATGTTATACTCCTATATTTGGCAACAGGGGTTTCATAAAATATTTTCTAATGACACAACAAGCAACAACATTTTTAAATGTTCAAATAAGGTCACTTTTAGCACCATAAAGAAGTGTTGAGCGTTTTTACTAAAAATGTCATGAGTGCATATTGAGTATCTTCACTGATGGTTATTTTTCATAATTAATATCTATGACATAACAATAAGGCACAATCTCAGTACCTAATTATTTTGATTTTAATTTTTCGACAAACGTTCTAACCTCGTTTTCTGTACCTACACACCTAGTATTGAAAGGCAAGGTTTTGTTTCCTCATAGTCTCTTTTTTGTTCAGTCTTATCAATGATTCCTAAAACAACAGTTCAAAAAACGCCAATGTTCTTTAACTCATAGTAGTATATCAATCAATATGATTGCTGTATGAATTCAATATCTATAAACAATAAAATATATAGATCCTGGGATACTTACATATTATTTTCTCTATATTTTTTTTGTTTCAACATCTTTCATCTGCGAAATTTTGTTAAATGAGATCTTTTGGGATTTTGACATATCTTGGTATGTCAACTCATAAGCTTAGAATTGACTGGATATCTTGGGATTATGACTCATTATCTTGAGATCTGCAGTCTGCACTCATTATCTCAAGATTTCTGTTTTATTTTTAGGAAATGTTAAGTCGCCTAAAGATTTCAGCTCATTATCTCAGGGGTTCTATTAATTTTTTTTCTGAAAAATGTTTATTCATCATCTCAAAAATTCTAAAAATGCGACGATTTTTTATTCATCTCAAGATTTCAACTCATTATCTTGGGATTATATTAATATTCTGGAATTTTGACTCGTTACCTCAAAAATATTGACTCATTATCTAAGCAATTCGGAAAAAACTGAGAATTTTGATTCATCTCAAGATTTTAACTCATTATCTTAAAATTTCAATTCATTATCATGGGTTTAAGACTCATTATCTCGAAATCTGGACTCATTTTACTGAGATCTGGACTCATTATCTCGAGATTTTTGACTCATTTCTAGAAATATCGACCCGTCTCAAGGTTTTGGCTCATTATCTTTGAATTTAGACTCATTATCTAAGGGATTCCACTCATTATTTAGAGTTTCGACTCATAATCTTAGGGTTTCGACTCATTATCTCAGTGTTTCAACTCATTATCTCAGTGTTTCAACTCATTATCTTAAAATTTCGACTCGTAACCTCGAACATTTTCATCTCACCATCATTGCGTGGCGGATAATGCCCCTATTATGAATAGTTATCTTGAGATCCGGACTCATTATACTGGATTCTGAACTCATTATCCCGAGATTTTTTATTCATTACTAGAAATATCGACTCGTTTCACTATCTTAGAATTTAGACTCATTATCTAAAAGGGTTTCGACTCATTACATATCGTATGGTTTTCGAATCATTATCTCAAAATTTCGACTCGCAACCTCAAACATTTTCATCCCATTTTCAAAAACTGTGCTGCTCCTCCTTCATGGGCTCCTCCTTGAACGCCATGGAGTACGACACCGTCCCCTCCATGTCGCGCATGATCAGCACGTTGCTGGTAGCCTGCGTCGGGGAGGGGGCCGCGTGACCGTTGATCAGGTGATCCTGGGGACTGGCGGGGGTGGCTTGGGGGGAAGTTATGGGGCTGTCGGCCGAGTCGCTGGTGCTGTGGTAGTTGGAGGCGGTGGAACCGTTAGGGGGGACCACGATGGCCGGGGCGGTCTCCACTGTGGAACCTAGAATGGGTTCTGTGGTTTTATTAGTGATGGCTGGGGGTGATTCAGGGTAGACTTTTCTTATGTTTTAGGTTCTGGTTCTCACGACAAGGGATATCCTGTAATGTTCAGAGAACATCGTGGGAACCAAGGGAAATAAGGTAGGAATTGGTGTTCTTCTTGAATTTCTGGAGGTTTTATGCCTGACACCTCTCTTGGCAATGCTCTGGAGCTTCGCTGTTCGTTGGATGAACTAGTCTATGGAAAGAGATGTTCTGCAGGTCTCCAAAGTGACCACGAAGGGGTGCGAAGCCTCAACTCGACGGGTCAATCTCGCGGGGACTGCCAAGGGAGGAACAATTGTTAATATTTCAGAATAGCATCGTCCATGAAGATATCTATAAATTAGAGCCAGATCGCCAACTTTTCTACGGTGTTCCAGAGAAGTGAGTGAGTTTGTGAGCGAGTCATCACCCACGAGACGAATTGATCTGGACAGAATCCAACAGTTTCAGGATATGTTTGGGTGCTGCACCCGAAATATGGGAACAGTATTCCAGGACAGGTCGGATCTGTGCCTCATAGATCATAAGCAGCTGACTGGAAGTGAAATAGCTCCTAGCCCGAAACAGAAAACCAAGTTTTTGGGATGCACTTTTAGCAATTGATCTCACGTGATTTTTCCAAGAAAAGTTCTTGCTGATAGTACTACCAAGCATCGAAATGGATGTCTTCAAAGGTATGGTTACTCCTGACAAGCTTATGTTGGGCACAGTGAGATCGGCTTTTCTAGAGAAAAGGCGTGCTTGTGTTTCGTTTGCATTGAAATCTACCAGGTTATCTGATCCCCATTCGAGAATTGTTGCCTCGAACATCCCATTTTACGCTCTTTAAAGAGTGTGGACACACTTGTCATGATTTAACCCATCAGCACACACAGTTACATCACAGAGATATCGTAGCGATGTTGCAATTGTGACCTGCGATATCGCAGTCCATGTCAAATAGACGTCGCTACGATGTCAGAGGGATGTTATTTTGTCCCACTCAAACGAATTCTCGCTCTCTCACCTCCCAGCAGCATCTCCTGCAGCAGGCTGTCGATATGCGCCACGCCGAACAGCTTCGCGAACTGGATCTGCTCGATCATCTGCCACGTGATCGACTGCAGCGGCGGCAGCGTGAGCAGCAGCTCGCCGAACCGCCCGCGGCTGTCGTATTGGCGGTCGCTGATGTAGTCCTCGAGGTTGATCTGGATCTGGTAGCGCAGGGATTTGATGCGCGCCGGTTCGCTCAGGCCTTTCGCGTCTGGAAAATCGAGCGTAAAACTATTGGGTAGCGCTGCGCGATATTGGATTTCGCATATCGATTATGGAAGTCAAAACATATCGATAAGTTCGATATATAGATTTTTTTCCTAGACCTTACTCGAAATAATCTAATTTTTAGACAAATAAAAATAGATTTTTGTCGGGAGACAACATATCCTGGAGCTAAAATCTACTACTCTGTCCCTTGTATAATAAATTACTAATTTTTCTGTGACGGGAAAAGAGTTTGTCATTTCATCTCTGTTCGCAGGTTATAAAATGTAATTTTTTGAATTGACTCGGCCGTTACTTAATGGAAATCCATGATAAATGTAAAACTTCACAAACGATAAGATTTCCACAAAATTTATTAAACACACGATATGTTTCGCTAACACAGTAGCTTCGTCAGGTGATATACATGGTACAATGAACTAAACTCAGTTGGGATGTTTTGGGATGTTTTGAAAATGTTGGCATGAAGATGTTATTTTGAGACGTAATATGCACTGACCAAAGAGGTCTTTGAAGGATATTGAAGTATTGTTTTTGTTTTTCTGTGGCATTTCTTTGTTTGCCTACTGAGAGGTATCCCTGGGATGTTTTGGGATGTTTTAGAAATGTAGGCATGAGGATGTTTTTTTGAGGCGTAATATGCACTTCCCAAAGAGGTCTTTGAAGGATATTGAAAGTATTGTTTTTGTTCTTTTGTGCCTTTTCTTTGTTTGCCATTGCCCCACCACAACGTCTCATGCTTACGTCACAATACGATGAATTCTGATTTGTTTTCGATTTTGTTCTTCTTGTTCGCAATTGGCATTCGCGTTTGCAGCGTGTCACGCTTAAATCACGCTGCTAACGAACAGAAAGGAATTTGGTGAAGTTTATTGTGTTAGAAGACTTATTTAGTTTGTAATAACGACCATCAGATGCGAGATGTGTTGTTCGGTGCCTCAGTGTAATCAATATATAAAAGTACGAATTTATCAATACATAGCTTCTCCGCAGATGCAAAATTATGCATTGTGGAGAACATTTCAAAAATTGGGGAATCTATTTCCAATTATATGTCTGTGTGTAGCAAGCACTACTCAGAAACCGATCAAGAATGTCATTTCATATCAAGAAAATATTTTTATGTTCAATCTATTTTTAATGCATTTTTATCATTCAACAGAAATGGAATCCTAATGTAAAAGTTCATTTTGACAAAAGGCTTCAGAAAAGTACCTCGAAAATGTTTTTTTTACAGGGATTTAATGTGCGCAAGACGCGTTGAAAATGTTTTGTTGTGTCCATGAAAAGGCTTTAAAAAGAACTAGTGAGAAGGTAGTTTTGTGACATATCAAAGGACATCTCGATAATTGCCGACTGCGGCGGACGTTGGTTGTACTATAATAGTTCTATTCATGTGTGAACAGAACATCGCAGTGGAGGTTCAATGTCTCGAAATCTCGTACTTTTAACATCTCTGAGATATTTTTGTGCACGCTCGAGTTTTCAGATCATATTATCTCCACATCCCAAAGAGGAATGAGAGTTGCAATTCATGGATCAATTACTTGAATTTGAATCTTTAAATCAGGCTCCGGGAAATTCTATTTTTGGTACTCAATACAGTTTAGCTCTGTGGTACAGAAGTGGACTGAACTTTTTTGAAGAAGGAGAATATGGTGTTCACAACTCGCTGGGAAATGGTTACTTACTCGGGTCGAAGAAAACGATGGCCTTGAGACAAGCAAATTCGGTGTCGTCGATCTGGACGTCCGTCATCGGCTTGACCAGCTCGTCTATGATCCTGGCGCCGACCCTGGATATGCTCAGATCTGGGGATATGTTACGTTGATCTGGTAACATCACTACTATACAGGGCGTCGGCCGAAAGAAGGATTAGTTAGCGTCCGACTGTTCGTACATTAATTGAAATGGTGTTCCCCTACACCCGGGAGGTATTCTGAACGATTATTTTTCATTTTCCACAGAGAATATCAGTTGATTACTATTCGTTTTTTCATTTATATACTCTTACTAATTTTATGTGAAATACATCACTGACCAGTAAACGTTTACGACAGTTCGACATTATTTTTTACCAAATCGTCAGTCTGATTTTGATGTTAGTTGTCAAATGTCAAATACAAATAAATTCAGCTTCGTTTTCGAACATTATTTCATTAGCTCAAAATCTGATCCTCAGTGATTATGTGATCTTGGACCCTTCCAGGTTTATTATATATCTATCTCCCTATAGATATATTATAACCCTAGACTCTAGACCCTTCGTATTTTCAACTATGAGTGACATTGACGAACGGAAATACATTCAACAAGTAGGTAACACTGAATATATGACAATACTGACAGTAATTGCTGTCAATCAATAACATAAAATTGCTCATCTTTCTCAGATGTATTACTTCCAAATGAATACGTGTTGTGCTAGAAACTTGAATTTATCGAATAATAAAGAAACCTACAGGGTGTTCTGAACTGAGGAGGAAACACACAACACAAAGCATCATCAGAATATAGGATTCATCATTAGGGAAAATAATTCAAAACAGTATCTACATGTTTTTTGCTGCGTATATTTTTCTGATTTTTGTATAATGAACTGACAATTTTCAGTCAATCAACATCAAATTTAAGCATGCAAGTTTACTGGAAAGTGATCACAAATATTCTCTTTGGTCAATAAAATTCGTCAAAATTTTCCAGGTGCATTTCAATTCCACATGCACTATTATAGGGAACCAAATTTTGAAAATCATAAAGACAATAATCCACCAGACTGTATTTAATAAAGTATATTAAACCATTTATCTTCAAGTAAGCTCAGTGTAAAATGTAAATGACGAAGAATCAGGTCGGTGTGCAGTCACTGTGACGTTGTTTTTACACCGATTATAAGTCATTTATTGGGGTATTGGAAACGCTACTTCTAATCAAAAATACGTGAATATAGAAAACTATCTAATGATCCTTTACTCTTGAATTCATATACACTTATCATCAACCTCACTTAACAACCGCTTCATGAAGATTCATGAGCATTCATCGGCTGGCGCGCTTCCATCGGATCTATTCATGTCTAGAAGTGTCATCATCAGATAGAGAGGGGGTAAAAATCACAAATGAGTTACTTTTGCATTGTACTAGCGGCTGGACTCTCTACTTGGAGACTGACTTAAGCGACCGTGGTCAAGATGACGTCATGGGGCTGTTATTTTTTCACGTCATATGACGTCAACTCATGACGTCACCTTGGTCGTCTATTGATGTGGAAAACTTCAATATGGTTGCCTGAAATTGCATCCCGCCTTTCTTCATTTTGCAGGTGTGAAAAAAAAAACAATAGTGATATTGATTGAATTACACGAGGTCTTCATCTTGGACAGATACCCAATTGAATGCAATGATATGGTAGTTTTTTCAGACGTATTTGTCATAGCTAGAATAGCATATTTTGATAATTTGGACATATTATGGGCGTTCATAGCTCTATGGTTGAAAAAACTGAAACAATGATGATTACTCATCAAATATTGTAAGGAGCTCTTGTTGACACAGCATTACAATCACTTAGAAAAGTGATAATATTGAAATAAGTTGACAAATAAGTTGATATGAAGTGCTTAGATCACCTATACAGCGTGATAAATTACAGTCCCATGATTTTCATTATGATAAAAAATGATCTGATACTATATGAGTACACTGTTATCAATTTCGATAAAATTGTCTAGATAAAAAAAATGCATGTAGGGGGTTAGGAATACTTTGCATATGAATTTTCGAAAGGTATTTTCATTTATCATTAGTTTATAGGTGAGTTATCCCATACCAATCAATTAATAGCTACTTCAACTATGATTATTATTTTTCAATGATAAGATCGCCAACATACAAGGTGATAAACTGACAAGTACCATAGATTGAGGGGCTCGTAACAAATCTCACAAGTGATATACACAATTATTCTATCATAAAATCCTCTGGCGATTATTAATTACGATTTTTTTTATCGCTTGGATCGCACGAAAGGAAATCCCTATAATGTCTAACTTTCAATCTAAACCAGGAGTTGTTTTCCCGTAGTTTTCATGTCATCGCAACGTCAGATGATGACCTTGGCTACCGATAATTATAAAACTAGATTTTTTTTAAGATACAATGCCTTATTACTTCATTGAGAAGATATAAATAAAAAATCCATTGATCCACTCTGTGATAAGATATACCCAATGAAATCCTGTTTCGTTAGCCAACACTGAAAAACTTAGAAGTGTCAACACAGGATCTGAAGACAATTTGTGATCAACACAGGATCTGAAGACAATTTGTGAGAAAAATATTCTACATTTTTTATATAGAGCAGATTCGTTATCAAAACGTATAAAGATAAATGGAAATGTGATAATTTTTTTATATACCTATATTCATTTCTCTTCTCGAAACATTATTGAAAACAAAGTGTCACTGACAATCAAAGGAATTTTTCTTTTAGGCTCTCTGATAGGACAATTTTTTAACGCAGTGACATTTTCGGGCAAATCTTCGGAATTGTCTTCATTTGCCATAACATTATTTCTACAAAAAATGTTTTTACATAAATATTCATCAAAGAACTTTCATTATTTTATTTATACTTTTTTTTAGTTCAGCTATCCATGAAAACGGGATTCTTTAGTTTTTCAAACTATTCTACTTTTTCTCTACTTCTTTTTAGTTCAGCACTCTATATCTCTTCATTTTTTCATTTATTTTCTACTCACTTCTTTTTATCTATAAACACGTGTTTCATTAGTTTTTCAAACTACTATTTATTACAATAGCTGATGCTGATACCTGGCACACGTTGTTTTGCAATATACATTTTCATTCTAGAAAATATTTTCTAGTTAAATATTCATCAGCACACTTTTATTATCTTGTTTTGAACTTCTTTTTAGTTTGGATATCCATGAAATCGTGTTTCATTAGTATTTCAAACTACTATTTTTATTTTCTACTCCTTTTTAGTTCGACAATCTATCAATTTTCTACTTCTATTCAGTTTGGCCTCGAGTTTGGCTATATATAAAAGCGTGTTTCATTATAGTTTCTCAAACTACTATTTATTACAAAGCTCTCTCACCATATTGGATCCGCCATCTTGAATAAAATCATAATCTCCGACCCCGAAAACCCCCAGATACAGATTTTGAATAGAATCGGATCATGATTACAAAACTCGTCCACCATATTCGATCCGCCATTTTGAATTTCCTAATTTTGATATTAAAATCTCAATTTCTGACCTCGAAAACTCCCAGATACCAATTTTGAATGGAATCTGACCATAATTACAAAACTCGTCCGTCATATTGGATCCGCCATTTTGAATTTCCTAATTTTGATGAAGAAATCATAATCTCCGACCTCGAAAACCCCCAGATACCAATTTTGAATGGAATCTGACCATAATAACAAAACTCGTCCGCCATATTGGATCCGCCATCTTGAATTTTCAACATTTCACGAAAGAATCATAATCTCCGACCCCCCAAATACCAATTTTGAATGAAATCGGATAACAATACTCGTCCGCCATCTTGAATTTTCGATTTAAAATATAGATTACGACCGATTCTCATACCTACCGAATGCGCACAAACAATTTCATACGAATCGGTCGAGCCGTTTCGGAGGAGTTCGACCACTAACACCGTGACCGGGACAGGAGAATTTTATATATTAGATATTTTTATTTTATAGAAACGAGGAGACAAAATCCCAAAAAATCTGGAACAATGAATTCCTACATCATCTAGGGTACTCATCACTGAATCACCTTGTAAAAACCCCATAGAGACCTGGCAATAAAAAACGCATTATCGACGATAATTGAGGAGCATCGCAGATTTTTTCAAGGAAACATATGATTTATAAAGTGGTATTCTTGAATTTAATTGGGTCAATGCAGTAGTATCAGGTTTGCGAAAATTACAGGTAATTACGAAAGCACCATACCGATATTTCCCCTACCCCCCACCAATGAAAACCTTGACCTTGAATTATAAAGAAAAAATGGATGCGAAAATAATGTACGAACATGGACTTACAAGAAGAACAAACAACTCGGTGTATTCAAATCAAGTATATGCATAGTATGACACATCATATTATTAATAACTCATTCAATTCAAATACACATACTTCCAGCTTGAACTGAAAAAGTAATCAGTATCAAGTGGAGTATTTTACATGAATTCCAGTACATGAAAGTGAGGTACTCAAACCATTTAAATTGATAATGACCTAATCAACAAAAAATAGTAGATTGTTTTATTAGGATCAAAAGTGACACTTTGTTTGACAAGCGAATTTTGCATTTGCGAGGCGGAGCGTTTAGCGAAGCCGAGCGAAAGCAAAATTTGCGAGTCGACCAAAGTCACTTCTGATCCGAATGATACATGCTATTTTTTCTGCAACCGAAACAATTAACTCAAATAAACATGTGAAGTAACCACCAATGCCGTGCCATATGTATGCAATGCAACAAATATTGACAAATAATCCATGTGGTGAGAATATTCTACCTGCATTAACAGCAGGTTAGGTTTTCTAGGATGTTCGAATTGTAGTTTCAATATAAATACAACCACAGAGTGACATATTTGTGTATGGACCAGGTGCTCTAATGGCAAATACCGCGCCAGTGCCAGCTATAGGAACAAAGACGTGGAAAAAGTTAGGTTAGTGAGCATATCAACAATAATAATTGCGATTATTTATTCCTCTCCATACTACACTGTGTTTTACTCAATAATCAAATGAAGCTAAACAATATCGTTGTTTGAGACAAAAAAACTATTGCTTGCCGTGATTATTCAAAAACAAGTTATCCATCCCGAGAATAACGAATGAAATACAGATCACGCAAGTATTTGAATCTTGAAGGCTTCCCTGATCAAAACAAAAATACTTAACTGAGATGTTTATAATTTCAATACTAAACTATAATAAGGTGTATTTATATCTCCAGCATGGGTATGAAATGCCAAATCTGGTGAAATCAGAAACAAATCAGATATGCGTCTCAACCCAAATAGCCAACCGTCACAATGTAATTTATTCTTGATGACGTCCAGTAGATCCTTTTTAGTTCCAAGGGGCTAAAGTTCAACTTCAGCTCCTAGGAACTAAAATTCAACTTTAGCTCCTGGAACTAAATATGTTGCCTAGCAACATATCTTTTTTTGTGTCAGTAATAGAAACGTCAATTTAAGAACTAATTTTGGTATCAAAATGGACGACTTTTGTGTCGGTTGCAGAAAAAAGATAATTATTTACTTCAAAACGTAAATTCTTGTTCAAGATATTTGACCAACGGTTTAGAAGGAAGCAATAATAGAGAAAGAGATGGAAACTCTTATTTTTTGCGCTAACTCGCACGTTACTAGATGGAAATAATCCATAGTAAATGAATTCAACTTCACAAACGATGAAATTCACACAAAACATATAATTTGCATACAAACATATAGGATTTCCTCTAACTACGTTATTTTACTCAATGATGATCAATCTTTACAATAGGCAAGAACACTAATTTGTCAACCTCGGTATAAACGTATTATTGAATATAAGACCGAATTTTGTCTCTGTTGATTATAGGCTATAAAGTTGTAGAATTGACAACCTTTATTGTTGACATTTACTACGAATCATCTTGAAAGTTGGATCGATTTGGAAATTGATGCATTTATACAAGATATAGGTACTTCCTCAAAATGAAACAGCTGGCAACACAGGATTATGACGTCAGTATTGGATAGACGCGTTTACCGCCGAATGCTGTTTGAATGTTCCGTGAAATTGGAGGGTCTTCAAATGGTGTTTTTACAGCATATTTTATATTATGTTCTTGCCCATTCCAAAAAGTAGCCAATACATAAAAATGTTTATTATTCCCAAAGCGAAATTCATTTATTGTTTGTCTATTCTTTGGATAATAAGTTTCGCATTATGCAAATGTTCGGTAAACTTTCCACTATTACCATCAGAAAAGTAATCTACTTAGGAAATTGCCGTCAAGTATATACATAATAACCAGTCCTCTTTTATTGCGCGTGTATAAATTTTCTACGAATGTGGCCTTCGAATCATCTTCAATTAGTGTTTTCTTCGACAAATAATTACATATATTTTATGTCACCGACACATGGTTTCCATTATAATAAATAGGTTTAGTCGAAACTCACTTTCATTAAGCATATTCATTCGAATTCAATATCAAGTATAATTTCGATATATTTGTGGTGTCCAAGCAGAAATTATTCAATGACCGGACGTAAGCAGTAATTGCAGCGAAAATGGTGTTATTTTCTTTCAAGTTCTATTTTACCAACAGGGAAATCTAATTCACTTATTTTAGCAGAATCTCTTTCAGTTTAATTTTATTCTTATTGAATTTCCAAGTCATATTCACAAAATTGCCTGATTGAAGAATTCCAAAGCTTCAATTTGTTTCTCCATTTATTCAAAACAAATGAAATGTTGATTGTGACATTTTCATTACCTATATAGTAATATGAAATCGTAATTATTTTGAAATGTCTCATTGACGGTCTTACTTGAATTGAATATACCGAATTGTTTGAGAAAAAACATCGAGGGGTTAATAAGCCAGACCTAAAGTAGTCAAAAACTTTGGCTTTGGACGACTTCAGACCAAATTAGTAAGTGATAGAACACAGTATGAGAGTAAAGCACCTAAACACCGCACTCCTGGCTCAATCTGCTCCTCTCTACCCTACATATACGAGCTCACAAACTCGAAACATGTTGCGGTTTCTTCAAAAATGTGATAAAAAGTTGATCAAACGTCTTGCAGGTGTCAAAATCGTGAAAAAAACGTTGAATAAACGTCTCGCAAACGTCAAATATGTGAATAAAACGTTGAATAAACGTCTCGCAAACGTCAGAAACGTTAAAAATCAGAAATACCGTCAGAAGCGTGTTTTGAAAACGTAAAAAGTGAGATCAACGTACCGAATACGTCAAAATTGTTGAAATAAACGTCTAACAGGAGCCAAAAACATGAGAAAACGTGAAACAAACGTATTGCAGCAGTTGAAAACGTAGAAATAACGTTAATGAACGTTTCCTCATACCTAAAAACCGTGAAATAAACGTCTGGAATGTGTCGAAAGCGTGAAAAGACGTGAGGAAAGGTGTTGCATGTATCAACTTCTTCACGAGACTTTTTTTTTCCATTTGCGAGAACGAATATTAGTCCTCCATCTATGGGGGAAAAGGGGCAACTCGAGCCAGGAGTGGGGTAGGTGCACTACTGATGAGGCAACGTCCCTCACAAGTGCTTGGAAAATGCTTACCTGGACACTGCTTCGTGATGATGCAATTGTTACCCAGAAGAAGGACGTCCTTGAGGTGCATGGATCTCCTAGCGAGACCCAGCAGGAGATGTTCGCCCGCATGTGCTCTCAACAACGCCACCTGAAAAAAAAGGGGTGGGGGTGAAGCAAGTGAGGCCATATCTACTTTATGATTTTCGGCGATTTCTTCGCTTGTTGCTGAGGTATTTGGATTTTTAAACGCTGTGCTTGAGTGAAATGACCTGCTGTATTGGAATAAGTGATTATGACTACAGGGTGGCTCTGTAGGTCGCCAAAACCGGATTATGAAAATAATCTGGAACACGTCAACTACATTTTCGAGGAGGACATCGGTCTAAGATATTATCAGCCCTGCGGCGTTGCCGTTTCTAACGGAAAGAAGCAACAACTTTGTTATTTCAAATGGAACACCACGTATTCTCCCCGAAGAGCTGATTTCATCAATTCAATTCAATCAATTGGGAAAATATATTGGTGATGATTAGAAAATTCAAAATGTTACAGATAATGGGCTGTTATTTCTACTTGGAAAAACTAGCTAGTTAGCAATGATCTGAATTTCAGTGTAATCATGAGAAACCGAGAAATACTTGATTCATAATATTGGGGGCAAATTATGTTTTTTTACCTGATCGTCCAATTGTAGTTCCGTAAAGGCAGGGATGTACTTGGCCCATTCCACTAAAATTAATAACTGTTGTTTCATGGAATCACATACGTCATTGATACTAGCTAATTGCCTATTTGATAGGTCGTAGTCGTTTGATGGATTTGGACCCATTTGCTGAAAAAAAAAAAAAATAAGGTCCTTGCCCAAAAAGTAACAAAATTTGATTTAACTCATTTCACCACGATCTTTTTCTGTGGAATATTTTGAAATTTTGAAAACCCTTTCTCAGATCAAGTCTGATGAAAATGTTGTTTGTTAACACGCTTTTATTAGTTTCACATGTAAGTATTTGTATGTATGTATCTATGTACCCAACTCCTTTGGACTCGATTTTGACCCACTTAAAACGTACCGATTGATTTGAAATTTGGCAGTTGTACATAATTCTGGTGGAAATGCAACGAGTTTTGTAATTGTTATCCGATTATGATTCTTTCGTCAAAAGCGGAAAATTCAATATAGCGGGTCCAATATACCAGTTGTCCCAAGTTATCGGATACAGGCAGTATTTCGCTGATTTGACAAGATAATTGAAACATTCAAAAACTGCATTGAATGACATTGATGTCATTTTTTTATATGTAAAAATGGATGTTTGTCTGAATGTCCTTTATAGAATCATAAACGGCTTGACCGATTTCACTGCATCTTTTTTTGTTGTATTTGTTATGGTCAGGAGAAGTTTACTATAAGAGAAACAATTGGGAAATTCAAGATGGCGGATCCAATATGGCGAACGAGTTTTGAAATTATGATCTGATTCCATTTAAAATTGGTATCTGGAGGTTTTTGGGGTCGGAGATTATGATTCTTTTGTCAAAATTGGAAAATTCAAGATGGCGGATCCAATATGGCGAACGAGTTTTGAAATTATGATCCGATTCTATTCAAATTTGGTATCTGGAGGTTTTCGGGTTCGGAGATTATGATTCTGTCATCAAATTTTGGAAATTCAAGATGGCAAATCAAATCTGATGGTTTGAAAATTCAAGATGGCGGATTCAATATGACGAACGCGCTTTGTAATAAATAGTGTTTCGAAATCGCTGGAAAAACTAATGAAATACGCTTTCATAGATAGCCAAACTGAAATAAAGTAGAAAATGAATAGTAGTTTAGAAAACTGAAGAGATAGATCACCGAACTGAAAAGAAGTAGAAAATAAATAGTAGTTGTGTTGATAAGTACGAAACATAGAATATATACTGATTACGAAGGCGCTAATATTTTTTATGTTGTGTATTTATCAAAACGAAATTTTATGTTTTACTTCTTTTTAGTTTGGCTATCAATGAAAGCTTATTTCTTTGGTTTTTAAAACTACTATTTATTCCATATTATCTTCATAGCCTTACCTCTAAAGCTGCCCCGACTTGTCTAGATAACATTTCTGCATTCAATAAAGAACCCACTGATAGACCATTGTTCTGATTGTTTTCTTCATAGCTGGGCCTTCTACAGCTTATCCTATCTCTTTCATTTTGTACGGCTGAAACAGAAATTTGAAATACAAAGAAAAATATATGACAGCTTGAAATTTGTTTATTCACAGCAAAACATAACTCCTCATAAACTATAAGATTAAGAAATGTGGAAATCTCATAGTTTGGATATGGAATTTTGAATATTTGAATAATGCAATTATTTCTATAGTAAGAAACTGACGATGTGTAAAAAATAAAATTATATTCCTAAAACTGACCTTCTTTTTTCATACCAGCCTTGAAACATTTCCTCAATCTACAATATCTACATTGATTTCTTTTATCTTTGTCTACCACACAATTCCTGTTGAATCTGAAAAGAAAAACTTCATGAAAATTGCTATACAGATCACCATGAGAGGTTGTTTTTGAAACACAGTGATTCATTCAATAGATTATGACGATAAAAGTATCGTAAAGACTCATATTACGATATTAGATGAGAAATTTGATAACTCATCGATTATCAGTAGTAATATCCCTAGGACATTGATAATAGCATTGTCGATCTAAATGGAAACCTAGTTAGGTAGTTAGTAGGCGAGAGCATAATATTGTCTGTTCTTTGAAAAAATAAATGAAGGCGTTCAGTAGTACAGAGACATCAATGTGAACCAAGTAAACTAAGTTATTCCTTTTTTATTCCTAACCCAAACATTTTTCATGGTCCTGTCAAGTTTGTAAATAAAAATCTGTCATGTTGAAACCCAAAAATGAAACATTATCATGAAAGATATTATCAAGTATGAAAACCATCTACCTATACTTGAATGGAAGCAGGGAGATGTTTAGGCAATGCTGTATTAGGTTGACTTATGATGCAACTTGAATTTAAGTTGGAACTGTGGAAACTTCGGAAACTCATCAGTGCTTTCACACTTTTTCGACATGCAAGCCAAGCAGAAAGGTAGGGGCTGCTTATTTCCTTCTATATTTTTGATAAGTTACTATATAATTCATGAAATTCCGTTATTTGCAGTGAAAACATGTCTTTAGTTATGTAAACTATGTACACATCGGATTCACTATACTTGAAAATTTCAGGTACCTACCTACAGCGAAGAGTACCTACATGAATAGCTTTTCAGTTGAAAAACGAAAAACTATGAGTGATACAAACAGATTGATGTGGAAGAATCGCATGAGGAATTATTATGTGAGTAATGTTTAGAAGAAATGTACCAGAAGGATGATGATGTTTGAGAACAGAATGGAAAATTTCCCATCTGAAATGAATATATAGAAGCAATAAGGTTAGACTCAATCTGTTTATTTCATCAATGTTTTATGGATATTCTGCTCCAAACTCAAAATATCAAGATGCTGGGATATTTAGAATTTTTTTTATTGGAAAATAACTTTTATATGTAGGAATGACAATACAATTATATTTTTTTAATAAATTGAATATAATTATGAAGAATTATTGCAATTTTTATTCTACTAATTTGTTCTCCTCTGATACCCTGTTTATTGTTGTACAGATTTATTGACAGGTAAGTTTGAAAACATTATATATTGTACCAAAGGTAAGTATTTAGGTTAAATATATGTTTTGCTGAACAATGATTATTTTTTATAAAATCATCTTATTGAAGCCACTAACTTCACTAAATATGAGAAGATGTGTCTATAATTGCCACAAATTAAACCATAGGAATATTCAATACCAATATGTATAACTTTTTAATTTATATTGTCAAAATTTTGAATAAACATTATTATTATTTATTATCATTCTATAATATCTGTTCAAATGCCCGTTTCCTCCTAAGATGCTTCCTCATCTTCAGGTCGTGTTCCTTAAGGAAGGAGTTTCTCTTCAGCATCATATTCCAAACTACATTGATGAGTCTGAAACTATAAAAATATTTGATATCTATTTTGTCCCCAGTTTCAATGTTCTGTACCATTCTGAAATGAATTCAATGACAATTGACTGGAACAATTTTTAGAGGTACCAAAGTCAAGTTCTTGGTAATTTTTATACTGAAACTTATAGTTCTAGTCAACTAGAAACTAATAAGCTGATTGCTACAAAAAGTTTGTATAGGTAGGAACTTGTTAAATATCATTTTATTTATATATACCTTCCTTAAACAAACTTGGAACCGAACCCTCCTTCCAAAACCGTTTCCAATTCTTCATTGGCAAGAAACAGTTCCCTTAAAATGTTGGAAACATACAGTATCATGTTCGCTCACTTCAAAAACTCCCATTCCTGAAATATCAATGCATCAAGTTTCAAATATTATACGATTTAAGAAAAAAATTTCACCTTGCAATCCAATGAATATGGCATAAACTCATTGATGCCTCAGGATTTGAGGCTCAAATTCACAACAGTGGGGATAGGAGAAACCAGGTCTTGATAATTTTACACCTCCACCTCCTGGAGTGCGAAGTTTTCAGATAACATTGCAAAATAACACAATCGCACTCACAAACCAATCAACAAACTGCAATAGAAAACTAATACTAGAAGAAACAATTAGGAATAATTGTAATTTTCAAGAATACGAATTCAAAGTTCAACATATTCACAAAGACGAAATTATAAGTTAATGACAACTGTCAGAAAATAATTTTTTGATTATGACATCTCAATCTCATGAAAGAATCTTCTTCATCGCCTTCGTATCGAATATGACGTCAATGATGGAAAGCACATCTGTGGTTGATTAAGATATTGGAAAAAAATAGAAGAAGACAATATCAACCTAATATGGTCTATTTTGACATAAACAAATGAGCTTTTTCCATTTTCAGGATGCCAGCGCCACTTGACAGGCAGACAGATTTTGATTCAAAGAACAGACAATATTGTACCTCCTCGCGTACTAGGTCGCCTACTAGGTTTTCATTTAGATCGACAATGGATAATAGATGAGATAATTTTATGACAATTGAAAGCTCGTTCCTTGGTAACAGCTCGAAGCCTAGAATTTTGTCTACTCGTCCAAAAAAACAGTATTTTCCGGATTTGTTACGTAAATTACTATTTCGTTATAATATTTTTTTCACAAACGTCAAAAAATGACAAGGTTTGCGCATTGATAACGAATTGCGAAGGGACACTTTTGAATGTTTAACAATATTTTTTTTATCTCTTGGAGCGCACGAAAGGAAATTCCTATAATGTCAATAGGGAGATGCCTTTTGAGACTATTAAAATTAATTCTCGAATTAAGTATACAATATGCCTTCTACTGATATCTAATATCGCCAATTGTTTACTCAATAATAGAATATTCCTAAAATTGATTATATGGACGTAGGTGTACAGAGATCGTTGATTATTGTAGTTTCGGTTGTCATACGTATTTTTTTTGTTTATCTATTCACCTATAATCAATCAGTTCTTGTTTGCTTTATGATTATAAACCTGAAATTCAAAAATAAGTAAGTACCTCGGGCTCTCCAAGAGATAAAAAAAAAGAAAAACTGATTTACCCATCAATTTTATAATTGACTAATTTTTTAATGTAACCGCTATGACATTGCCAAACTAGTTTAATAAAATGATATAATAACATTAAAATATTCGAGTGGTATTGTTGGAGTTGAGAAATAGGTATAGGTATACGAGAAAAAAATTCCGTTTATTCAAATGACATCGCTTTCTGTCAGTCAAGGTAGCATTGAATGTTATTGTACTAATGATCGCTTCTTCCCAGGAAAAATTATAAGTATAATCATGACGTAGATACGATTTACCTGAGAAAACTAGTCGATCTTCTTTCAAAACAAGACATGTCGTTCATATTAATTGCATTCATGACTATTAGTAATTTATTGCCATTTTGTGCACATTGTCATACTATGGGTAGGTACCAGGTACAATACTGGATTGGTAAAATATCGACCCTGGTTTCATCATACCAAAAAAAGGAGATAAAGAACCTCATGCAACGCCTTTTGTAGGGAGTCAGGAAAGAAAATCGAGTACCATTGAAATCATTCCGCATTTACATTCACCCCTATAAGTTTTTTATTATTGATGAAGGAAAAACAAAATTTGGGGGTTATGTATTGTAGTTCAATTTACATTTTGTTTTTTGTTCTGTGCCTTATAGATCATAAGCAGCTGACTGGAAGTGAAATAGCTCCTGGCCCGAAACAGAAAACCAAGTTTTTGGGATGCAGTTTTAGCAATTGATCTCACGTAATTTTCCCAAGAAAGGTTATTGCTGATGTTGTCAACATTTCTCCCTCGTTCGTTTCTGATTAGCCTATCGTGTACTATTTATACATACTATCCAGTTTTTTACCTGATTATTTATCATATCGATAGGTATCTAATAATTCAGTATTTTCCTGTATCAGTTTGTATAGCCTACTTAAGAATTTTCTGTGTTCGAACACGATCACATATCCGACGACTATACATACAGGTTGATTCTTTGAAAAAGAAATCCTACTTTCAATTTCATTCAATTAATCGTCGAAAAAATGCATCATTTTGAATGAATATTCATAACACGATTATCAAAGCTCTTAATTTGAAAATTCCGAAAAGGTTTCGAGAGAAAACATCAATCAAGAGGATACAGGTGGAAAAAAAAATAAAAAAATTATTTGTTCAAACAGAAGGTGAAGACCACGACGCAATTTTACACCCATTCAATTATCACCCTGTAGCAATGTTATCTGAAATTACAGAAGTTTCATATTGCCACAACAAACTGTCAAGAGATTAGGCTAATCATCGGTGAAAACCGATTTCATTTTTTTTATCGCTTGGAGCGCACGAAAGGGAATCACTATAATGTTCAAAGAACATCGTGCGTTCCTGAGGAGGATAGGGATAGGAGGTAGGTATTGGAATTTTTTTTAACTTCTGGAGATTATATGTTGTTGGGAATACTTCCTCAGGCAATGAATTCCAGAGCCTAGCCGTTCTATGGTGGAAGGAGTTTTGATAAAGTGCTGTTCGACATCTTTCGAGGTTGACAACGAAAGGATGTGCTGACTGGGCTTGTCTAGTTCGTCTGACTGGTATTGTTAGTGAAGGGATGATAGCAGAGATTTCCGAAGCACATTTCCCGTGAAAGTATCGATAGAAAAGTGAAAGGGGTCGCTGACTTTTCTACGGTGTTCCAATGATGTCAAAGAGTGAGAGAATGTGGCGTCACCCACCAGGCGAATGGCTTTTCTCTGGATGGAATCTTAGAGCATCAGCATATGTTTTGGTGCCGAGCCCCATATGTGGAACAGTATTCTAGAACATACCGTATCTGCGCTTTGTAGATCATGAGAAGCTGTTGAGGTGTAAAGTAGTTTTTCCCACGGAACAAGAATCCGAGTTTTTGTGAAGCAGCTTTTGCGATGGATCTGACATGATTATCCCATGAAAGAGTGTTGCTGATGGAAATACCGAGCATAGATATGGTGGGCTTGGTGGAGATGGTGGTGCCAGACATTACAATGTCGGGCATACTGAGTTCCGCCTTCCTAGAGAAAATACAGGCTTGAGTTTTGGTGGCGTGAATTCAACTAGGTTGTTGGTTCCCCAGGCTGTGATTTCAGCAAGGTCTTCATTGACAGTATTGACCCGCTTGCGCCGTGAGTTCTTAGTTTCCTGGGAAGAAATGGGAATTCTGGAAGAGAACGCAGTATGGAGGGTACTATCATCTGCAAAGCTGTGGATGGGGCAAGTTGTTACTCCCAACATGTTGGTGCCAAAATTGATCCTTGTGGAACGCCGGAATTGGTGCCAATGGTATCAGACGATACACCGTCCACCACCACATGAAGCGATCTGCCTGGAAGAAAACTCGATAAGCGATGGCATAGCTGAGGTGGTAAGCCGTATGATGGTAGTTTGTGGAGGAGTCCTTCGTGCCGAACACGGTCAAATGCTTTCGATATGTCCAACGCGACAGCTAGAGATTCCCCGTGCTTTTCTAATGAAGCTTGCCATAAATGGGTGACGTAGGCAAGTAGATCTCCAGTAGATCTTCGGTGGCGAAAGCCGTATTGTCTATCATTGATGATTCCTGAGCTCTCCAGATATTTGATAAGCTCAATGTTGATGGCTTTCTCCATCACTTTGGAGATTACTGATAACAGGGCAATGGGCCTGTAGTTGTTGAGCAGGTTCTTGTTCCCTTTTTTGGGGATTGGTTGGACTCTAGCGGTCTTCCAGCATGATGGAAAAATACCCGACCTGTACGAGACGGTAAACAACTTGCAGAGAATCGGTGTTAATTCTGGTGCACATTTTTTGAGGATAATGGGTGGAATTCCATCAGGACCGTTAGCCTTATTCGTTTTGAGACCAAGCAAAATTGTTAAGGAAATTCGTGAGTTATTCTACTTTGAATTCAGGCTATATTTTGGACCACGACGTTATCAATGTATATCAAAACTCAAAACTCTGACCTGCAGGTGTACAAGTGGTTCTTCCTGACGGACCGCCTGAAGAAGCCCTTGCATCCGTCGCAGGAGGCGGCGCCGTAGTGCTTGCCCGTTGCCCTGTCGCCGCAGATGGCGCACTGCTGCCCCGCTATAGACGCAGCCGCCGCCGAGGCCGACAACGAGGCGGCCAGAGGGGTCATGGTGGACGGTGGCATCGACATGTCCGGATCCACTAGAAAAAAAAAACAGAGAGTTATGAGACGCTATTTGTGAAATATTTGGTTTTTGTAGAGAATTTGAGAAAAAAAATTGCTGGCGATTCAATGGCCCATTGATTTTAAGTTATGGCGTACCACTGGCAATAGTTACTATCAATAAAATCAATGAATTCATCTGTGAAATGTTTGTTTCTCGATGAAAATCGAGTTGATGAATCAAGATTACTGGCGATGCAATGGCTCATTGATTTTGAGTGATGGCATACCACTGGCAATAGTTACTATTAATAAAATTAATGTATTTATCTGTGAAATGTTTGTTTCTAGATGAAAATCGAGTTGATGAATCAAGGATGCTGGCGATTCAATGGCTTATTGATTTTGAGTAATGGCCTACCACTGGCAATAGTTACTATCAATGAAATCAATAAATTTATCTGTGAAATATACGTTTCTCGTTATGAATCGAGTTGACAATGGAAGAACGAATGTGGTGGCCAATGAATCAAGATTGCTAGCGATTCAATGGCTCATTGATTTTGAGTAATGGCATACCACTGACAATAGTTACTATTAATGAAAATATTGAATTTTTCTGTGAAATATACGTTTCTCGTTGGAAATTGAGTTGAAAATGGAAGAAACGAATGTGGTGGCCAATGAATCAAGATTGCTGGCGATTCAAAAGCCCATTGATTTTGAGTGATGGCATACCAGTGGCAATAGTTACTATTAATAAAATTAATGTATTTATCTGTGGAATGTTCGTTTCTCGATGAAAATCTAGTTGATGAATCAGGATTGCAGGCGTTTCAATGGCCCACTGATTTTGACTGATGGCATACCGCTGGCAATAGTTACTTTTAATAAAATTGATGAATTTATCTGTGGAATATACGTTTCTCGATGGAAATCGAGTTGAAAATGAAATGAACGAATGGGGTGGCCAATGAATCATTGATTTGGAATGATGGCATACCACTGGCAATAGTTACTGATAATAAAATTAATGAATTTTCTTGTGAAATGTTCGTTTCTCGTTGAAAATCGAGTATAAAAATTCAATAAAAAATCCCATGAGCTGCTGTGGTTTTGTTATTAGGACAGCGACAAAAAAGAACCTTTTACCGTTGTATAATAATATATTATTCAACAAGCATATAATGAGGGATATTATTCACGAAGGTTAAGTTTATGTCACGAGCGTAGCGAGAGGTATAATTACCCTGAGTGGATAATAGCTAATTAAATGCGAGTGGAATATTATACTCTGTCGACGACTACTATTGTTTTTGATGTATACATTTATTTTCAACAATTTTTTTATCATAACTGATTTGACATTAGGAAAACTAAAAATTGAAGATACCTGTTATATTAATTATTTGTCCACGACTGTCTTACGTCCTCAAACAAAACGATAGCCATTTTTCACACCAGTGAATAATAGCGGTGAATAACCATCATTCACTGGTCTAAAGTTCCTTATATGCTCTATCGCGTAACCTAGCAACACCGGAGCAGTGAATTATGGTTATTCACTGGTGTGAAAAATGGCTACAATGCCATTTGAAACCATGACAACCAAAATTATGAACGAATCTTTGTCTTTGATGGCGTTTATGTCCACTTTTCTCAATGTTTATAGCATCAATAACTGGTATTTTAGGTACATAATGGTATATAATCTCGAAACATGAAATGGAAAATTTGTTATTTTGACTACAGATTTCAAAGTTTTTTTCCATTGAATCTATGGATATATGATTTGTTACATCGCCTCAGAATAAGACAGATACCTACTACAGGATGATCCATAATAGGTACCTTTTTTTTTAATTTTCAGCCTTGTAAAATAATTCAAACATTTCAAAGGTCTCCCGTTAGGATGACATGTCATGTGTTTTCTGGAAATTTCAGGAATTATCCTGATTTTGAAGATATTAATTTCGAAATTTTGAGGATATCAGCATACCGTCGCCTCAGAGCGACAGTAGGACATCCAAAAAAATAGGTCTTTCGAGATTATTGAGGTTTCAGCATTATAAACTAAATCGGCACCTCACTAAGACAAGTCCTATGACGCAATTCAATGTTTCATTTTCAACATATCTTTGTGTTGCAGAAGTTCTGAATTCTGTATCGAGTCAATCTAACAGTAGGTTATAATACCATATCCTGCTGTATAGCACTGAGATTCTCCAATACTTCAGATATCCTAATGTTGTTCTATTGCCCAGTTTCATACTTTCATACTTTTACATGTCTAAGAGGTGTTTAGTATTCTGGAAACGATTGAACTGATAAAAGCGCCTTCAGAATAGTTTTGTGTATTTGATTGTCTCAGTGACTATTCATTAATATGATTCCAAAGATTGAACTGAAGAATGATGCATTATCAAGAGGCCAGTGCATAGTTGAAATTGCCAAGAAATCTCCAGCGATCTTAATTTTTCCACTATGTATTCATTATTTCAAGTGATAGGTTCATTTCTTCAATGTATCTGAATTGAATCAATGAAGAGTGTTCAACAAGATGAAAGTACTCTCCTCTGCAGGATGAAAGCCTTGTCAAAATGCAGATTATTCAAGACACACTATGTTAACCATTTGGGTTATACTTGGAAGTTCAGATAGTGCCCGAAATTTCACTGTGATTCGTTTACTGGAGCCCGAACTATTAGAGATAGTAAATCGAATTAGGAATCTCGGAACGAAGATTTCGTTGATGTCCTAGTGTTGCTGTGATGCAAGGATACAGACGTGTTTAGGTAAATATTCCATGCTGTGTAGTTACCTACCATACGAACGTTTTAACTTGTTTTCACAGAAAAACAAACCATCGAATAAAAAATACGTACATGCACCAACTAGGAATGTTTTGTCTTCAACCTTGTCAGGTGTCATACTTGAGCTGTGCGTGTACAAGTAATGTATAATTTGAGAATTTCCTTTGTAAAACGAGCAGCTGTTCAAACTTAGCGAATAGTCACGTGACCCAGTGGCGTAACTATCAATAAGGACACATTTCAGCGAAAAATTCTCGGAAAATTCCTATACAGATATCCGAATCCTGTAGAACAACAATTTTCACTCGATTGCTGACCAATCTGTATATTTTAGAATTTTGTTTTGTATGTTCTGATACCCACGAGAAGGGATATCCTGTAATGTTGAGAACATCGTGAGAACCAAGGGAAATGAGGTGAGAATTGGTGTTCTTAAATTTCTGGAGGTTATATGCCTCGGGGAACACCTCCCTTGACAATGTGTTCCACAGCCTCGCTGTTCGTTGGATGAACGAGTCTTTGGAAAGAGATGTTCTGCAGGTCTCCAAAGTGACCACGAAGGGGTGCGAAGCCTCAACTCGACGGGTTAATATCTCGGGGACTGCCAAGGGAGGAACAATTGTTGATATTTCAGAAGCGCATCGTCCATGAAAATATCTATGAAATAGAGCCAGATTGCCAAACTTTTCTTCGGGGTTCCAGAGAAGTGAGTTTGTGAGTGAGTTTGTGAGCGAGGCATCACACACGAGACGAATTGCCCTTTTTTGGACAGAATCCAACAGTTTCAGGGTATGTTTCGGTGCTGCACTCCAAATATGGGAACAGTATTCCAGGACAGGTCGGATCTGTGCCTTATAGATTATAAGCAACTGACTGGAAGTGAAATAGCTCCTAGCCCGAAACAGAAAACCAAGTTTTTGGGATGCACTTCTAGCAATTGATCTCACGTGAATTTCCCAGGAAAGGTTATTGCTGATAGTAATACCAAGCATCGAAATGGATGTCTTCAAAGGTATGGATACTCCTGACAAGATTCTAGAGAAAAGGTATGCTTGTGTTTTGTTTGCATTGAAATCTACCAAGTTATTGGATCCCCATTCGAGAATTGCGAGGAGAATTGTTGCCAAGTCCATATTTATGTTGTCAACATTTCTCCCTAGTTCGTTTCTGATTTGCCTGGCTGGTATTGGAGCCTTGGAAGAGAAGGCGGTATGGAGGGTACTATCATCGGCGGAGCTGTGTACTGGACATGAAGTTGCTTTCAACAAATCGTTGATATGGAGTAGAAATAGTGTTGGTGCTAGAATTGATCCATGCGGAAGAAAAATGGGCTGTAAAAATAACAACCTCTGGTGATGAGGGTTGGGGTTGATTTGTCGAGTTTGGTATACCAATAACACGCAATTTTCAGTGTAGAAAGCGAATTTGCGGTAAAAAATGGGTTAACCCATACCCCATCCAAGGGGGTGAAGTTGATCAGATCCGTATTTTTCGAGATATTTCACCGTTTCCATTACACTTTTCATTATTTGAACTCATTACCATACATACCATCTTTCAAGCTAGACTTTTTGTACTCATTGGTCAGGATATTCAAATCACTTTTATACAATCCCTCAGAAAATGTTTTCGAGGACCATTATAGGTATATTTTATCATTGATTTGATATTTCTCGGCATTTCTTAATTGAACGTTAAGAAGGAGAATCAACGTTGCGCCACTGGCAATCACTAAAAAGTTCCACAAATTGACATGCCAGAAAGGTCTATTTGCACATTTGCAGATACCATGTATTGCATAATTTCTCAAGGATGTGAATAATGAATTATTATTCAAATATAAAAAAATTGTCTCTATCATCAATAGGCTGAAATATGTTTAGTGCAAACAGCATTGTCTTTCTTGCAAAACTTCTTAATTTTTTCTCGAAGAATTTAGTTAATGGGGACTTTCTTTTTTTTGGTAATCTACAGAATACAACATAAAATTAAGATATTATACGAATTCTGAATCTTGAAGCACCCTGTATTTTTTCCAATTAAATTCCAGTAGATAGTGAATCAGCTCTTCAGGAAGAATCTCAAAATGCAATAAAATACAGGGTGTTCCATTGGAAATAACAAAGTTGCTAGTTGTTTCTGATAGAAGTGGCAGCACTGTATCGATGAAAATATTTTAGACGGACAGAGAATGTTCAATTATCAAAGCTTCCCAATTTTTAGAA